GCTGATGAAACTTTAGTCTTCGCAGAGGCTACAAACTGACAGTATACATGTTTTAAATTAGCATAATTTATTATCGATTTTAAACTTCGAGGTTGCTCTCCATAAGCCAGAGTTGACCATCTCCAGAGCTGCAGTACCAAAACTGCGGTATTACATTGCCAGGAAGGTGTGGTGGAGTGTTTGCTCCTGATCCCATATGCTACGATAGGCATAGCAACTTTCGAATAACAGCTTTTATCTAACATAAGTCTCGAACAAAGACCACCTCTTGGAAACCGTACGCTACAGTTTGGACTCGTCTCTATCATTAGCAATTAACAAATAATATCATCGATTGACCAGCTGTACTTTCTGATTCACAATATTTCTCATAACTACAGAGATATACATTTAACAATTTCAATACATAGCATTAAAGATCAGAGATATGCTACGGAAAAATGGATGAAATCTAAGGAATACCATCACTTGAACACAGCACTCGAAACGTTGCACGAATGTCATCACTTCTCATTCCAAAATGCTGCTGCATATTTCGCAATTCTTTTATTCAATTTTCTCACGCAAAAACGTATGAAGGCACAATGCGTCTTCCGGGAGCCTGACATACCTTGTAGACAGTGCAGATTTTTATGCTCGTTAATCATATTTGAGACACGAGGCGAAAAATCCTTCGTCATAGATAATAATTTCAGCGAAACCTAAGCCATCAGACCCACTAATTTTGTAATTCTTAAACCATATCCAGTCTGTTGCTTAGATCTTTTATCTTGATTTCCTGTATGTGCCTGCACTGGTGATTTTAAATATATGTTTTCAGCCCGTGCTGACCTCTGGTCAGCAATTAAGCGGGTCAAGATTATTCGCAGCCTCAAGGCACATGATGATCTTATGTTTCTTATTCTGTAAAATGACCATGTAAAATCATCCTGTTTTCCGCACTATTCGCAGCTCAGGGAGCTGCTATCTGTCTTTTGGCTAGTGGCAGAGAAGCACAGCGGTGTGAATTCTCTGTTCAATGTAATTGACAGCTTAGGATAGAAAATTCATAGGTGGGGATGTGTTTCAACCTGACATTTTAACGCTCACAGCAATTACGAATCAACTGCGTCAGTGTCCCCTACATATGACTATATTTGTCATTTCAGAATTTGGGATTTACTTAAATAATCCAAGTCTGCAAAATTTAATAGAAAAAATATTATGCTACTGCAAAGACTCACAAACGAATAGACCATCTCGCCTACGAATAAACCGCAATAAATATATGGCATTCCATCCGATCTGCCATTCAGTTAATTAATTTACTAACTGCCCAAGAAGTTGATCACACGATATTTCGCAACAAAAGTAATACACAGGCAAAAAAATGTAATAAATAGAGAATCAGAAAGATACACAAGCTATAAACATAAATAGAATTTATCCTAATCCCTACCGTTTTCTTCAACATTTCTTCACAGATGCTACGAATTCTTTCCCACTGTTGGTCATAGGTCTCCTTTGTAGGGCGCGGCATTAATCAGCGGACACAATGTACCATAGGCATAATAACAAAATCTGACCCGTTGACCTCGTTCGATTAACTCTTTCACATTAACTGGAGTGTAGTAACTGATTTTCTACTAAATAGTGTTCTCCATTGGCTCAGTTTTCTTCCACCTAACAGCTGTATCGAGTATCATACAGTCTTTACCTATCATGATCACAAGGTCTGGTTTGTATTTGCTTTGATTTATTTGGTAAATAGGTTCTTTTCCCATTTGAACGGAACATCCCTTCTCCACCGTTAGCCTTTCGACGCATTCACAAATGCGGTGCATCGCTTTATTGTTACTTCGTGAGTTGTTGGGCAACATCGACGTATGCCTACCGCTATTTCGATGACCAGAATGCTGTCTTCCTCAACCTGCTGCAGGCGGTTGGGCATCTGCATTGTCTAAAGCGAGTTATGACTGAAGAAAAAGTCGACCAGGAGCGAGAAGTCGGGAAGAAGTCTGTTCTCAATTTAATACCATTGATCAGCATGCTGGCTGAAAGTCTTTTATCACACTGAGTGGCTACCAAACAGTAGAAAACGGCTTCCCATGGTGGGTCTCATGAAAACTATTCATATCCTTCCACATAAGGCCTGCTTTCTTGGGTTTCAATGCTCACTGTACCTTAGTCTAGCTTTTCAAAATCTTCGGCGTCTATTGCTGGATTCAGTCTGCCCGACGTAACTGTTGTCCAAACGATTCTGCGATTTACTGGAATGAATTTTCATATGCCCAGCATAAACTGTAGCGGACCAAGGTCAGATAATTTCGGCATTTCACGCTCGTCCTTCTTTACCGGCAGTAGACACATGTGCTGTGCAGTGTGGCCTTAGCAATTTTAAAGTTTTTTGATTTTTCCAATAATCATGCCTGTTATCTCTATCAAGATGGAGAGCTGGTATATCGTATCTGATTGATAACTAACTCTGGGAAATAAGGGCCCAAAAGTGAACGCCAACTTTTGGTAAGGTTTCAGTGCTTTGTAGCATTTACTATCCTGGTCAGCAGCTTGTTGACTTTTTAAAATTAAAGCTGGAAGCATCAGTCAGCGGTAGATCAATTCCAAGGTACAGTATAAAATGCACTGGCGCAATTGCGACAAGGTGTTTCAGGAATCCCAGGTTCTTCAGTATTCCACTGCTCTACGAGAGTTCTCGATATT